TGACGGTGCCCCCGTTCCCCCGCAGCAGCAGCAGCAGCCGCAGCCATGGAGATGCAGTCGTACTACACGAAGCTGCTGGGAGAGCTGAACGAGCAGCGCAAACGGGACTTTTTCTGCGACTGCAGCATCATCGTGGAGGGAAGGATCTTCAAAGCGCACAAGAACATCCTGTTCGCCAACAGCGGCTACTTCCGAGCCCTCCTCATCCCCTACATCCAGGACAGCGGCCGGCACAGCACCGCCTCCCTCGACATCGTCACCTCCGAGGCGTTTTCCATCATCCTGGATTTCCTCTACTCGGGAAAGCTGGATCTGTGTGGGGAGAACGTGATCGAGGTGATGTCTGCTGCTAGCTACCTGCAGATGACTGATGTGGTCAACTTCTGCAAGACATACATAAGGTCTTCCTTGGATATCTGCAGGAAGATAGAGAGGGAAGCAGCTTTTTACCAGGCTGACAGTGGGAGCTCTGCCAGGGAGGGCACCACCTCCTTCAGCTCCAAGAGCTCTGCCCCTGGCTCTTCCCCGCAGGAGAAGGAAGGGATGTCGGAATGCCAGCGGGACCCTCCCTGTGGTGCCTGCAGCAGCTGCCACCCCCTGGAGCTGGTGGTCAGGGACCCTGTCAGCAGTGACTCCCCAGATGATGCCAACTCCTCCTCCCTGCCCAAAGTGGTGGAGCCCAAGGTGGAGTTTGACCCCGACGAGGTGGAGGTGGAGGTGGGCGAGCGCCTGCCGCAGTATCCCACCCCGTTATCCCTGGAGCAGATGGAGGAAGGGCTGCATGGAGGGCAGCCCGTGGACCTGGCCTGCAACAACTACCACATGAAGCAGTTCCTGGAGGCTCTGCTGCGCAACAGCTCTGCTCAGAGGAAGGAGGATGTGGTCCACCACTTTGTCCGAGGGTTTGAGGGCAGGAGTGAGGATGCAGGAGTGCCCATGAGCTCCATGATGGACATTCACAGCGACTGGTATGGAGAGGACACAGGTGAGAGGACTTGGGGAGGGGTGTAAGGAAGGAGGGAACTGTTTGGTTGTGCCACTGCCTTGTTGCTGTGGTTTTGTTGAGGTGAACCTTATGGCACAGTGAAATAAACTCTTGTTGTGCACTCGCAAAGCAGCTGTGCTCGTTTTTTCAGTGCAGCCCTGGCAGGTGAGGATTGCTGACAGCTTCACAGCCCCTCTGGAGCAGGCAGTGGAGCAAGGTGTGGCTGATTCTGCTTTAGTAATCAAACTCCCCATTGGGACTTCATGGAATGGCAGGAGAATCCTTAACAAGAACCTTCTTCTCATGTCTGTGTCATAAAAAGCAATCCAAGAGGAGCTGAGCTGCCACCAGAGGGATCTGCTGCAGGATCTGGCACAGCAGAAGGAGCTCATCCCACTGGAGCTCCTGCCAGGAGCTGTTTGCTCTGGTCTTTTTCCTCTTGCTTTGAACTTCAGAGGGCAGAAATCAGTTATGTACAATACTAAGTGATACCTACAAGTCCTTTAAAGAGCACTAAAAGCTTTAAACTCTGTGGTATTGCATAAAGATGAGACTAATTTTTGTTGGTCACTGAAGTTCTGCTGCTGTCCCAAGCCCAGTGCCTGTTGGAATATCTCCTAGCAGCAGTGTCAGGGACCTGGAGAAGGAGAAAGTCATGTCCTTATACATTTTTCCTGAAGTGGACAATAAAGATTTGGGCATTTTCTCTAGTTTTGGTAGTTGGCTCATCCCAAGAGCCTTGTGGAGGTGGCTCTGACAAGCTGCAAGTGCCACAGCTGTTGAGGATGTGGTGTGGGCAGCAGTGCCTCGAGAGTTTGCACCGAATGTTCTGCTCTAGCTAACAAGTTTATATTCATGTCATCTCCAGCTCAAGGCTGGGTTATCTTTGAGCCAATAAACCCTATAAATTCTCTCACTGCTTTAAAATAAGGAACTGATAAAGTCACAAATTAATTTTACTGTCACCAAAGGCTCTCAGAGCAGCTGTCACCACTCCTGCCTGTGGGTTTTGACATGTAGCAAAGCAAGAGCTTCTAACACACAGACTTGGCTTTGTTTTTTCCTCTTGTAATATCTCCAGATTGTTAATGAGTCATTAAAAGGGAAATGCTGCTCCTGGAGAGCATTAGGTATCCTAATGCACTTCTGACCAGGGAGCAGAAGTGTTTCTCAAGTAGGAATGAGGGAAAAGGAACCAAACCTTGTGTTGTTTCTCTGCTGAAACTGGACATTGTAAGCATGGAGCAGAGTGGGAGTTTCTCTTCTCAGCTCCTAGAGATGCTGCTGCCTTAGGCACAAGGCACCAGGGGTGAGAAATACCAAGTCCTGATGGTTCTGTGGTGCACTCAGGCTGGCAGGTGAGATAAACACCACTTGTTTTCAAGTGCCACATCTGTTCCTTCTATCCTAATCCTCTTCACAGCTCATAGAGAGGGTAAACAGGCACCTCTAGAGCACCTGGCAGCAAGGCAGGACTGAGAACTGGGTTTGGTTGCTCTCAATGCAGCTCTAAATGCCCAGCAGGGATTAGCAATACCTTGTGAAGGCCCAAAATTGGGTGAGGTGACTCTCACTCACACATCATTAATATCAGACACACCTTTTTTTGACAGAGGGTTGGATAAAACTTCACACAAGGGTGTTGTGCAACCTTCCCCTCCTTGAGAAAGAGCTCAGGGCTTGACATGCAATGAATCAGTGCCTGAAATTAGGAAAACTAATCCTTTAGCATCACATCCCAACCTTTCTGCTGGGCTCACACCTGGGCTGATGCTGCCAAACTTGCCCATATGCATGGTTAGGTTTATTGACTTCTCTTTTTGCACCTGACCTCATAAATTGTGTATTGCTTTGATTTTAGAAACAGGAAAATATCCTCAGTGAATGTATTGGAGTCCTTGACCTTATTATTCCCAACAGGAAGGCTGAAGTGAATGGCAGTAGAAACAAGGAATCAGATTTTCAGATGATTCCCCATGTCTAAATATGTATAACATGTCCTATAATATGATTCTGTATTAGATATAGCATATAATTCTGTGGAATAGATAACACAGAACTAAATCTAAAAGCACCTGGGACACAGTGCACTGCTCCCACCTGCAGTTTGTGTTTAAGGCTTTGGTTCCTGCTGCTGTTTAATGCCAATGGTTTAATAATGAAAGGGATTAGAAGACTTTCCATGGCTGAGATGGAGCAGAGACTCCACTGCACTCAGAGCAGATTTTGGGCACTTAATTAAATGCCTTCTGAAAATGAGACGAAACGAAGCTATGTAAGCACAGGCTCATTTTCAAGGCACTTGGGCACCTGCAGCTCCGTGATTTTCAAGGCACTTGGGGCATCTGCAGCTCCACGAATATCAGCAGTGGCACAGCCTGAGGGAATTCCAGGTGAGCCAAGCACAGAGAGAAGGCAAACTGCTCACATTTGCAGCCAGAAGCAGAACAAGCCAACTCGGAGCTCGCCGACCTGCCTGACCTAACGCCCTGTGTGTGTTTTCCCTGCAGGTGATGTGTTGGTGGTGCCCATCAAGCTGCACAAATGCCCTTTCTGCCCTTACACTGCCAAGCAGAAAGGGATCCTGAAGCGCCACATCCGTTCCCACACGGGGGAGAGGCCTTACCCCTGCGAGACCTGCGGGAAGCGTTTCACGCGCCAGGAGCACCTGCGCAGCCATGCCCTCAGTGTGAGTGGGCACCAGCAGGGCAAGGGGCTGAAAAAAAAGCTGCTGGGCATCTTCCCGCTCCTATTTCCCAAGATATGTTGGACAGAAATGGTTGTTGTCACTGAGAGAGAAATTTAGAGAAGTTGAGAGTATGTTAAGAGGTTGGAATGGAGGTTAGAGGTCATCTAGTGCCAACCCCATGGGCAGGGACAGTTTCCAGCAGAGTAGGTTGCTCAAGGTTTTATCCAGCCTGGAATGAACAGTGACAGGGTTGGGGAATGCACTGCCTCTCTGGGCAACCTGTGCCAGTGTCTCACTACACTCACAGGGAAAACTGCCTAAGATCTAACCTAATTTTTCCCCCCTTTCAATTTATCCCCATTATTCCTGCTTCTGTCACTCCAGTTCCTGATGCACATTCCCTCTGCAGCTTCCCTGGAGCCCCTTCAGATCCTGGAAGGTGCTATGAGTTCTCCACACAACCTTCTCTTCTCCAACAGTAACTTCTAATCACTGATCTTTGCTTCATTAGTTTAGCTATTAGGTTCCTTAGATGTTTGATGTTTGGGTCATTAGATGTTTGATGTTTGGCTCGTGATAGATATGAGGAAGAAACTCCTCCCTGTGAGGGTGGTAAGTCAGAGAGGGACTCTACATCAGGAACTGGAGTGCCAGGAGAAGAGGGAATGGCTTCCCACTGCCAGAGGGCAGGGATAAATGGGATATTGGGAAGAAATTCCTCCCTGGGAGGTGCTGAGGCACTGGCACAGGTTGCCCAGAGAAGCTGTGGCTGCTCCATCCCTGGAAGTGTTCCAGGCCAGGTTGGATGGGGCTTGAAACAACCTGGGCTGGTGGAAGGTGTCCTAGGGGTGGAACAGGGTGATCTTTAAGTCCTTTCCAACCCAAACCGTCCTGTGATTCCATGATTCTCATTCTCACATAAATCTTCACGGCTGTAAACGTGGGATCAATTTGCCCTTCACCTGAAGTGTAACTGTTCCCCCATCCAGGAATACATCCAAACTAGCAGCTTGCCTGTTTCCCCAGAGTGTTCCATGTTTTCCCTGCAGGTGCATCGCTCCAACAAGCCAATCATCTGCAAAGGCTGCAGGAGAACCTTCACCAACAGCCTGTCCCAGGGCCTGCGGCGCTTCGGCCTCTGCGACAGCTGCACCTGCGTCACCACCACCCACGAGGACTCCATGCCCATCAACCTCAGCCTGATGGAAACCTCCTCAGAAGGCCAGGAGAAGGCTGATGCTGACAACGATTGGCCCATCTATGTGGAGTCTGGAGAGGAGAACGATGCAGCTGATGAGGATGATGCTGATGACAAGCAGGAGATCCACAGGAGCTTATCAGACCGAGAGACTCTAATGTAGCAGGGAGAGGAGAGAAGGAGCATTGCAAGTGTCTCCCTGGCAGTGCTCAGGCTGCAATAGAAAACTGTACATTTGTCCAACTAGTGAGACTCTGCTGGGGTTTATTATTCCTGTTTTTAATACATGAGGGAGGAGAATTGGAGTTTATATTAAATTTTCAGTGCTGTGCACCAGAAATCTGTGAAGAATCTCACAGAGGTTGGACTTGAGCGACTTCTCTGCCTCCTAGTCCTGATTTGAAACATCTCTGTGTTGTTTTGACAACAGGTTTCTCCAAACAATGCTGTGGTAGTCCTCAATCCCTGGTGTGGAAGGGGCACCACCTTCTGTCTGAGTGACATGAAATGTCGTTTACATCTCTTTCCTTGGGGTTTCTCCCAAACTAAGCTGTGATCCTCCTGTGTTAGGACAGTGTTATCTCAAGTGTAAACCAGAAGTGTTTGCTTAGACTGGATTTGACCTGGAAACAAGGGCAGGAAAACCAGGCTAACAAAAATGTGCTGCTGAAAGGATCCACGGTGAGAATAGCTGTCTCTCACAGGTCCTTAATTGCAGGTGTTTAGGGAACAAGCTTCTCCTTGTGAATTTTTCCTGCCTCTTCCTCTCAAGAGCTTGAGCTGCAGATCTTCAGATGTGTCTTTACTGTCACTTAGACATCACTGAGTTTGGGTTTAAGCACAAAGAGTGGTGTCTAGTGGCCTCATCTCTCAGCTCAGACTGAGTGAAATGCCCAAATTCCCTCCTGCTTTTGCCAGGAGAAGTGAAAGGCTGTCAGGCAGGATCCTTAGGGATTCTGACTGGCAGATTAAACAGTCACATCCACTACCAGGAGCAGTGAGAGACACCAAGATCTGAGCTGTGCTATAAAAGAGCTCTGAACACCCTTTTTGAAGCTATTGGGTAGGAAATGAGACATTTTTTACTACTCTCTTTTCGTATGCAAATCTTTTTCTTTTACCATAATTTCCTCTAGAATTTGGGGATCTTTCTCATGGTTTATGTTGTCGTGTGAATTTATCCAAGGATTTATTTATTCTTTCGAAGAAACTCCACTGTGGACCTCGTGTTTCTTTGCTGGGATAGCTAAAGGTTTTTCCAGGGAGGTGAGATTTTTGTGCCCTTTCCAGCAGCAGGTTGATAGAAACTCTTACAAATCAAGCTGGGAAGCTTTAGGGGACAGCCCAGAAAGGCTTTTAGCTTGGGGGTGACCTCCTGGTCCCTAGCAAAGAGACAAAACTGAAATGTACTGTGAAATAAGACTGTTAATGCTTCTTTCCTCTGCTGTTTTCATGGAAAGGCAAATGGTGTGAGGTTTTCCAGCTGGAGCAAGAGCTGGGTCAGAAGTCTGTAGACAAATTGGGCTGACAAAGAGTGAGCAGTTCCTCTCTCTTGAAGACTTAAGAAACACTGAAGTGTTTCTTGAGGCTTTTTCTTGTCAAGACTTTACACTTGGCACACCTGAAAAAACGAACCTCTGATTTAACCAGGGTTTCTTCTGCATCCCTTGTGCTTTTCATCTGAAAAAGAGCAATTTACCCTCTCCATCTGCTCCATCCTGCAGTGAAAGCAAGGTAGGTTGGACCCAGAGGTGTTTTCCAACCTGATTGATTCTGTGATGTTGCAATTTGCTTGTGGGAGGTGATTCTGCTCTCCCAAGGGTTAATTACCACATCAGGCAGGATGGGGAAAGGACAACAAAGGTTCTTTTCAGACAAATCACTTTACTGATGCTTGCTGGAAAGAGCAGAAGGTAGAGAGACTTGTTTTTGAAATGGTCTCGTCCAAGTTCTTGATGAGTGTAACCTCCACAAGGTCTCACCTCATGTGCTACTTTTTCTGGCCCTTAATTCAGGTAAGTTTCAGTCATCCTGTTCCAAGTCAGCTGTAAATTGGAATTTGTAGTAGCTGAACAGCATCATAGTGAGACAGATCATCACAGAAGAGCCTCACTGGGACAAGACCTTTCCAGAACTCACTGCTTTAGCCCCTAGTTTAGTCACCACTGTAGGTGCCAGATCTGGTGCTGAGCTCTGAAAATCCTCCTGAAAACCTGAGTAAAACGTGGCCTTGGAAATCCTGCAGGAACATTGCAAATGCCACCTCCAGCCTCCCAGGGCTTGGCTTTGGGATTTCTGGGGGCTACTGCTTGGGTTTTGGTGAGTCCATCCAACATCAGAGAGCGTTTATTGGTATCTGCTCATCCGAGGAAGAGTCATGGATGATCCATGTCCTTTGGGACACTCATTGCTAATGAAAGTAGGGGAAAAATAAGGATCTAAAATGTTGTTTAGTGACCAGACATCTCCATTCCTGGTCATGAAGGTTCCACCTTGTTGTAAATATTGGTAGAAGCCACTAGCCATGGAATATCAGCTGAGCCTGGTCTTGGCTAGAGCTCCACAACCAAACCAAATCTCCATGGGGAGATGGAGCTTGTGGCCTGGCTGGCTCTGAGCCTGTGGACACACTCAGAGCAGGGAAAACTAACCTCTTGGGAAGTGCTGAGTGTTGTAAGAGCTGCAGGAATGTCTGCAGAGACCTTTTCCTTCAAGCTGCTTTCTTTGGTCTTAGAGATTGTTCTTGTGTGTCTTGTGCCTAGAGAATGGAGCTGTGAGGTCTGTGGGAGGGGTCAGGGGTGGGAGGGGAGGGTTGGCTGTGCACATTCCATATTGGAAAGTCACCTCCAAAGTGTATGTTTCCTGTTAATTGTCATGTTGTGCTGCTTTGTTTCCCCTGGAGTCCTCCAGCCTTTGGATGTAGGATGTAGTTCCTCCACATTCTTGTGAGCATTTGGTCATGTAAATCTGTTTGTGCTTTCCACTTAATTTTTGGGATGGTTTTTTCCTCCCTGAAATTGTAGCTCCAGCCTCTACAAGCTTTGAGAAAATGATGTGGCTGTTTCCAAACCCTCCTGTGGTGCTGGAAATAATGTTTTTTAGGGAGGTGATGTCTACTGGAAACTTTCTCAAAGGTTTTTAAAGGCAATGCAGACAACATATCTCTTCAAGTCTTAGCTCCACTTCCTTGACTTTGTTTAGGAATGCACATTTCCATGTGTTTTTGCACAGAACTGCACTGTATTTCCCTGAGGGAATACAAGCTGCACTGGTCTTTGTAGCTCATGTAACCTCTTGGTGCAAACCCTTGTAAATCCTCCCAATGTGCTCAGTTGATTTCCTGATGTTTTGTAAGAGTTTCCTAACTGAAGTTCTTAGTCTCTGGTCTCAGTGACAAATTCTTATGAGCTGAACCTTATTTGTAGAAGTGACTGAACTTATATTTGTGGATCTTGGAGCATTCTGGAGTTTTTGGATTGTCTAGAAAATAAAACTCTCGGAGAGGGTTGCTTGGAATTTTTTTACCAGTCAGGTGTTGCCTGAGTGAAGCTGAGAGTGTCTGGATTGAGGCTCAGGTTTCAACTGCTTGACTTCAAATGTCAAAATCAAGATCTGCACTTAATTAATTCAATGAAAAAATGAATGTATCCATTTCTGGGGATGGAGTTTGCAAGAAGAATCAGGTTCTGGGTAAGAAAGGACTGAAAAGATCTTGTCCACTTCAACCTCAGCCAAGGGGCCTGTTTGGAAGGTACTTTATGTTATTAACACTTGGTTTTCTTACCACTTATTGTAGTTTTATAATCATTTAACTTTCTAAACTCTCTTTGAACCTTTTTTTTTTTTTTTTACATGCTGGGAAGTAGTGAGTGACCCAAGCATGGAGGAAATGCACGTGGGGATGGGGGGGAAAAAACCCCAACCAGCAGGAGGACAAGAGGGCACAGACTCGAGCTCTGCCAGGGGAGGGTTAGGTTGGATATTAGGAAGAGATTTTTTACAGAAAGAGTGATTAGGCACTGGAATGTGCTGCCCAGGGAGGTGGTGGATTCACCATCCCTGGAGGTTTTCAAGCTGAGACTGGATGTGGCATAAACTCTCCCAACAGCATCTTGACTTCAAGTGGAACTTTGTTGGCTGCAATCAAAAACTGTAAAATTTAGAAGTGCAAACCCCAAACTGATTACACTTCTGGGATCAGCAGATTGTGAGCTCTTACAGTGCAAACCTGCCCAAAATCAGCCCTATGTGAGGAACCCAAATTGTGTCCAGGACTGTTCCTGGATCCACAGCACAGAGCAGTGGGCAGAGGCTCTGAAGTGCTCTGAGCAAAACACTTGCCACACCTTTAGAAGTCCTAATTAAGCCACTCTGCATTTTTTCCCTATTTTTTTTTTCAATTCTACTGCCTGTTCCTGGCAGATGGAGAACCCTTGAGCTCCTCTTGACATTGATACTTGTCTGAGAGACAAGTGAAAGCACCAATTACAGCTAAGCCAAACAGAACAAACACCTCCAGGTGGTTCTTTTCAAAGGGAAGTTTTCAGATGATGAAATAATTTGGGCATGGGAAAAAATAGATAGAATGTTGAGCAACTTGGACTTGTGGAAAGTGTCCCTGCCCATGGCAGGGGTTGGACCAGATGATCTTTGAGCTCCTTTTCCACCCAAACCAGCCTGGGATTCTATGATTCCATTGGTGCTACTGAGTTGACTTGACAGGCAAAATCAGACACGAGAGGAATGAAGTCAAGAGCTGTTAAAACCTGGCACTGCACATCCACCGCAGTAGAGTTGGACTCGATGATCTTTGAGGTCTTTTCCAACCTGGCTGATTCTATGATTCTATGATCAAGTGTCTCAATGAGAAATGAGGCATCAGAAAACAAATATTCAACAAACAAGAAACCTATAGTTCTTGAGAAATGCCTAGCCTGGATTATACAGATGACATTTGACAACAAATCCCAAGTAATACAGGCACTGTAAAGCCAAAGACTGCCTGTGCACAATGCAGAAGAGAATGGAAAAGTGCAGATGCCACCAAGGTGGACTTGAGCTTAGAGGTCTCCTCCAACCCTGATTCTGTGATTCTAAGCTGGGTGTGAGTGTTGATCTGATCTCTACAGAGAGACCTGGACAGACTCATCAATGGGCTGAGGA